CTTATCAGAGCTCAAGTGCTGTGCTGGGAGCTCCATTGCTCCCTTCAGAGCTGTTGGGCAGGAATGTTTGTCTTCTGAAGTGGAACTCACAACCATTCCTTTTCCCAGGTGCTCTGTCCCGGGAAGGTGGGGCTTTATTTATAAGTCCCTGAGGGGCTGCTGCCTTTTTTTCAGAGATGCCCTGCACAGCTAGGAGGGAGTCTAGTCACAAGTCTGCCTGCAGCGCCTTGCTGAGTTGCCGTGGGCTCCACCCAGCTGCTGTGTAAACTTCCTTGCAATTTTGTTTACCAGGCAAAGTTAGAACTGCCTTGGTAATGGTGGGCGCCCATCCCCCCACGGAGCTCGACTGTCCCAGGTCAAGCTCAAACTGCTGTGCTGGCTGTGAAAATCTCAAGCCGGTGGGTTTCAGTTTGCTGGTCTTTGTTGGGGTGGGACCCGCCAAGCCAGATCACTTGGTTCCCTGCCTTCAGCTCCTTTTACTTCAGGGGAATGGGTGGTTCTGTCTCTCAGGCATTCTAGGTGCTGTCTAAAATGGCTGCCCAGTTTTGTGCTGGAAACTCGCAGTGCTGGCTGGAACAGTGGCCCAGTTTTGTGCTGGAAACCGCGGTGTTGGTGGTGTTGGCACTGGTGGGAATTTCCTGGTCTGTGGGCTGTTAAGACCATGGGAAAAGTGCAGTACCTGAGCCTGAGCGCCAGAGTGTCTGAAAAAGTCCCTGATGGCCTCCCTTGGGTGGGAGAGGGAGTCGTCCGGCTCCTTGCACTTCTGGGTGAGGCTACGTCCCACCCTGCCTCAGTTTGCCCTTGGGCTATACCCACTGTCCAACCAGTCCCATTGAAATGAACCTGATACCTCCGTTGGAAACGTGGAGATCACTCGCATTCTGTGTCACTGTTGCTGGGAACTGTGCTCTAGAGCTGTTCCTATTTGGCCGTCTTGGCAGAAGTCTTCCCCACCCACCCCCCGCCTTTTTTTTTTTTTTTCTGAGACAGTCTCTCTCAGCCACCCAGGCTGGAGTGCAGTGGTGTGATCTTGGCCCACTGCAACCACAGTCTCCTGGGTTCAAGCAAGTCTCCCTTGTCAGCCTCCCGAGTAGCTGGGATTACAGGCACCTGCCATCATGCCCATCTAATTTTTGTATTTTAGTAGAGACAGGGTTTCACCATGTTGGCCAGGCTGGTCTTGAACTCCTGACCTCAGGTGATCTGCCCGCCTTAGCCTCCCAAAGTGCTGGGATTACAGGCATGAGCCAGTGTGCCTGGCCAGACCCCACTCTCAACTGGGAGAAGGGTCGAATAATTTGGGAACCCAGTGGCCAGGTGCCATGGCTCATGCCTGTAATTTTAGCACTTTGGGAGACCAAGGCAGGAGGATTGCTTGAGTCTAGGAGTTTGAGACCATCCTGGGCAATATAGGGAGACCCTCTACGTACAAGAAATTAGCCAGGTGTGGTGGTGTGTGCCTGTAGTCCCAGCTACCTGGATGGCTGAGGCAAGAGGATCACCTGACCCCAGTAGTTAAAGGCTGCAGTGAGCTGAGATCTCACCACTGCATTCCAGCCTGGGCGACAGAGCAAGACCCCGTCTGAAAAAGAATAAAACTGTCACAACTGTTGTAGTTTCACATTTTGAATATATCGAGGACAGTGTTAGGCAAAGCTGGGCACTGCTTTTCTCTAAAATCTCCAATCTGTAGTGTGTTCTAGAGAGCAATTTTTCTCAAGAGGGGTCAGTAAGAAAGAGATACAGGTAAAGCACCGCCTTTAGGAGGGCCTGATGAGGCCACGGTTATAGGCCTATTCTCTGAACCCAATACAGCTGTTCACAGCAGTAACCTGGCTCAGTTCTGGACATTTCTGGAAATTGTAAGGAAACCAGGTGACAGGGTGAGCTAATGAGCCAGTGCAAAGCTGTCACCATGGCCAGAACAAGCCAGGGTTTATGTTCAGCTGATGATAGCCTGAGAGGCCATCTTCACATAGAAAGGCTAACCCACTGTTGTGTGCCTTCTTTTGTGCAGCATAAAGATAGAGAGGTGGTGATGGAGCAACCCTCTTCTGGAAGTGACTGGTCTGATGTTGAGGAGATCTCCACGGTCAGATTCTCTCAGGAGGAACCTGTCTTACTGAAACCCTCAGCCGTTCCAGAGCCTTCTTCCTTCACCACTGACTACGTCATGTACCCGCCTCATTTGTACAGTAGTCCTTGGTGTGACTACGCCAGCTATTGGACCAGCAGCCCCAGGCCTTCCAGCTACCCCTCCACAGGGAGTGGCAGCAACGATGCAGCCCAGGTTGGGAGGAGCAGCTGGAGCCACCTGAGTGATTATTCCCCCAACTCTTCAGGGAGTGCCCAAAACACCTCCAGAGACATGGTGGCCTCAGAGGAAGGCCGGTCCCAGAATTCTCGTTCATTTCGCTTTTCCAGAATCTTAGAAGAAAGAGAGGTGAAGGAGAAAAGAACATTCCAAGAGGAGACGCCACCGCGTCCTTGTGGAGGACATTCATCCAGCTCCCTGCCAAAGAGCCACTGCGAGCCAAGCCTAGAGGAGGGCTTCATTGACACCCATTGTCACTTGGACATGCTCTATTCCAAGTTGTCTTTCCAAGGGACCTTTAAAAAGTTCAGAAAAATTTACAGCAGCTCCTTCCCAAAGGAATTTCAGGGTTGTATCTCTGACTTCTGTGACCCTCGCACCTTGACAGATTGCCTATGGGAGGAGCTATTAAAAGAGGATCTGGTGTGGGGGGCCTTTGGCTGTCACCCTCATTTTGCACGTTACTACAGTGAGAGTCAAGAAAGAAATCTTTTGCAAGCCTTAAGACACCCCAAGGCTGTAGCGTTTGGGGAAATGGGCTTGGATTACTCTTACAAGTGCACCACGCCTGTCCCAGAACAGCACAAGGTAACAAGCCTCTCTTTAGTCTGCTTATAGTTTTAGTTTTTCTTTTAGTTGTTGAAGCCTGACAATAAGGGTTTATCTAATTTTAGAACTAAAGAATTTAGAATCCCTAAAAATGCAGAGTGCTTGCTCTCATCCAGACTATCTAGATACCATTGGTTAAATGCTTTACAAACTATTTCTTACTGTTTAGCTTTACTATGGAAGTTGGGGGAGAAGTACTTTGTGACTTTTGAGATGTAGTCTTGCTCTGTCACCTAGGCTATATATAGTGCAATGGTGTGATCTTGGCTCACTGCAACCTTTGCCTCCCGGGTTCAAGCAATTCTCCTGCCTCAGCCTCCTGAGGAACTGGGACTACAGGCGCTCGCCACTGTGCCTGGCTAATTTTTGTATTTTTAGTAGAGACGGGATTTCAGCATCTTGGCCAGGCTGGTCTCGAACTCCTAAACTTGTGATCCGCGCGCCTCAGCCTCCCAAAGTGCTGAGATTACAGGCGTGAGCAAACTGCACCAGGCCACTTTGTGACTTTTTGTGGCTAATGATATCGATGTCAAAACATTTGTTTTCTTTCCTTCTTGGGAAGCAACAAGCTTTAGGTTTTCTTAATTTATTTTTTGAGAGGGAGTCTTACTCATTTGTCCAGCCTGGAATGCAGTAGGGCAATCTCAGCTCATTGCAACCTCCGCCTCCCATGTCCAAATATTCTCCTGCCTCAGCCTTTCAAATAGCTGGTATTACAGGCATGTGCCACCACACCCGCCTAATTTTTGTATTTGTAGAGATGGGGTTTCACCACGTTGGCCAGGCTGGTCTCGAACTCTTAACCTCAAGGTGATCTGGCTGCTTCACCCTCCCAAAGTGCTGGGATTATAGGCATGAGCCATTATGCCCAGCCTGGTTTTCTTTCTTTATTTTTTAATGTGTCCATTGCAGAATATTTGAAAAAATATTTAAAAATGCATAATTTCTCATTCAACCAAAGATCATGGCTAATACTCTGTTAGTATTTTNGTAGAGACGGGGTTTCACCATGTTGACCAGGATGGTCTCGATCTCTTGACCTCGTGATCCACCCGCCTCGGCCTCCCAAAGTGCTGGGATTACAGGCGTGAGCCACCACGCCCGGCCTACACTCTTAATTTCTGTCTCTTCAAAGGTATTTTCTCAAGGGTAGGAGATATAGCCTACACATCTCCAAAGCAGATTATCATCACTTCCATTTTATTGCGATTTGTGGCCTTTAAGTCACTGTGCTAGGTCCTTCATCTATATTACAACAACCTCTTAAGGAAGTATTGCTACACCCATGTTATAGATGCGGGGCATGGAGAGGATAAATAACTTGCCTGAGATCACAGAGCTAGTAAGTGGCAGAGCTGAATTTCCAACCCAGGTCTGACTGACTCCAAAGCCTGTGCTCAAGAAATGTTTGATTGATTATTTAACAGAGAAAAATAAGATTGCTAGTAGAACACAAGGAAGCTTGCTAGTCTTTCTGTGTCCTCCGCCGCCTAAAATCCATGTTCAGAGCTGATAAAGATTTGATATTCAGTTACCTGGCAAAAGGATCACTTTTTCTACATTATGAAACTCTCTGGAGGTGGCTTCCAGATTGTAAGATATATAAGTACATTGCTTCAAAGTCTTTTTGTCTAAGATGGCCTGTCTACAGAGGGATAATTGTTTACTTCATAAATCTTACCTCACCTATGATGGCTGGAAGCGCTGGGATAATTATGTATTTCCACATGTCACAGTTGAAAGAGCATATATGGTCTTAGAAATTGAACAGTTTTGTGTTCTGGCTATATAACTTCTGATGAGTAATGAAAACAGTCAGAACCCTAACAAAAAGTCTTCTTATTTATGAAAGAGTAACAATAATACATCTATCACAAGGCTGTTGTGATAAGTAGTGTTTTTGTAAAACGTATGGTATATAGTAAACACTTGATAAGTAAGTGCTTAACAGCTGTCATATTTCTTTTCTTTTCTTTTCTTTTTTTTTTTTTTGCCAGGCTGGAGTGCGATGGCACAATCTCGGCTCACCGCAACCTCCGCCTCCTGGTTTCAGGCAATTCTCCTGCCTCAGCCTCCTGAGTAGCTAGGATTACAGGCACACTCCTCCATGCCCAGCTAATTTTTTGTATTTTTAGTAAAGACGGGGTTTCACCATGTTGACCAGGATGGTCTTGATCTCTTCACCTTGTGATGCACCCGCCTCGGCCTCCCAAAGTGCTGGGATTATAGGTGTGAGCCACAGAGCCTGGCAAATATATTTTTCCTTTTCTTTTCTTTTTGTTTTTGGTGACAGAGTCTCGCTCTGTTACCCCCGGCTGGAGTACAGTGGTGTGATCTTGGCTCACTGCAGCCTCGGCCTCCTGGGCTCAAATGATTCTCCTACCTCCCCTCCTACCTGGGACTGCAGGTGTGTGGCACCTTGCCTGGCTAATTTTTATATTTTTAGTAGAGGTGGGGTTTCACCATGTTCACTTGACTAGTCTCGAACTCCTGACCTCAACTGATCCCCTTGCCTTGGCTTTTGAAAGTGCTGGGATTACAGGTGTGAGCCACTGTGCCTGGCCTCTGTTAATATTTTTCCCTCCAATATTTTTTGAGCACAGTGCTTTGGCAGCGTAAGAGTTCTAGTATTTTAGAATTTTTTTTCCCCAGAGATAATGTCTTTGCTGCTCATGCTGGAATTCAGTGGCACAGTCATAGCTTACTGCAGCCTCAACCTCCAGGGCTCAAATGATCCTCCCACCTCAGCCTCCTAAGTAGCTGGGACTGCAGGTGCACACCACCATGCCTGGCTAATTAAAAAAAATTTTTTTTTTTTGAGTTGGAATCTTGCTAGGCTTGAGGGCAGTGGTGCAATCTCAGCTCATTGCAACCGCCGCTTCCTGGGTTCAAGTGATTCTCCTGGCTCAGCCTCCCGAGTAGATGGGATTACAGGTGCCAGCCACCAAACCCAGCTAATTTTTTTTTTTTTAGAGACATAGTGTCCCAGGCTGGAGTGCAATGGCATGATCTTGGCTTACTGCAGCCTCCATTTCCAGCGTTCAGATGATTCTCTTGCTTCAGCCTCCTGAACTAGCTGGGATTAGAAATTCCCGCCACCACGTCCAGCCAATTTTTTGTATTTACAGGATCACATCTGTAATCCCAGCACTTTGAAAGGCCAAGATGGGTTGACAGCTTGAGGGCAGAAGTTTGAGACCAGCCTGGCCAACATGGTGAAACCCCGTCTCTACTAAAAATTAGCTGGTGGCTCAGACCTGTAATTAGCCAGTGGCTCATGCTTGTAATCCCAGTACTTTGGGACACCAAGGCGGGCGGATCACTTGAAGCCAGGAGTTGGAGAGCAGCCTGGCAATATGGCGAAACCCTGTCTCTACAAAAAAAAAAAAAAAAAAAAAAAGCTGGATATGATGGCACGTGCCTAAGTTCCCAACTACTCAAGAGGCTGAGGCAGGAGAATTGTTTGAGCCTGAGAGGTTGAGGCTGCAGTGAGCCATGATCATGCAGCAGCCTGGGTGACAGAGTGAGACCCTGTCTCAAAACAAAATTAACAGGGTCTCAGATCTGCATTTAAAGGTCTGTAGGGCACCCTGCACAACAAACTGAACTAGAAGTGATAGCATAGGGTGATAAATACAGTCTTGCAGGTGTCATTTGGCTTGGTGAGGTGTGACTCAAGACCGGAAGATAATGAGCCTGAGGAAATGCTGGCTGGGGGAGGGCTAAGCTGCCTGTAAAGGAGAGGAAGACTAGGAAATACTGGTCAACACCAGAGACTCCTAGGCTGGGTGGAGTATATGGATATACTGTTTTGATGTAAATAAATAATGTGGCACCCAAATGAGGTGAATGGTGGTGACTGGCAACTGTACCTAGTTGGACATCAGTACTGAGTTGCATTTACTAAAAGCACAGCAGTTGGCAAGTTCTCGATGTGTCCTGCTGAGTGTTTTATCTTGTGAAGGGAAGAACAACCTATAGAGAGCTGGGTGCCATGGCTCACAGCTGTAGTCCCAATACTTTGGGAGCCTGAGGCAAGAGATTGCTTGAGCCTACGAGTTCAAGATCAGCCTAGGCACCATAGTGAGACTCTGTCTCTATTACATAAAAAAAAAAAAAAAAAGCCTGTGGAAGGACTGTATCTGGCCAAGATGATAGGGTGCCAGACCTGGCTTATTGTAAGAGAGCTTGGATGCTTATACCTAAGGTTTTCTGGAAGCACTGGAAAATAGAGAAAAGCAAAACAATGGGAGAAAGCATGGGTAGTTATTCTGCTTGGAGCAAATTACTGTTAACTTTTTCCTTGTTGATCTGTGTATTTACAGATTATTTAACTCATAAGCGTTAGATCATGAATAGTTTGTAAGTTGCACACGTCAGCCAATATGAGTATGAAATACAGTCATATTGGGAGAGTAGACTGTTCTTTGCTATCCAGACCACATCTCTTTACTTGTGTTAAAGAGTAATTAATTAATTATTAAGGTAATAAATATTCAAGAGATACGCAGGGCAACCCACAGGAGAGACTAACCCTGGAATCCGTAGAAATAATGGGTCAGTTAGGAACCCAAGCTTAGGCAGGTAGAAGTGAGTATTATGCTGGATAATAACTCATCTGTACCTCTTTCACTCCTGTTCTTTTTCAGCCGGGTTCCTGGTGAGGACAATTGCTGAGAATAGCTCCTGTCCAACCACAATTTCCTGCATTCTAATTAGTTGTTCTTCCGTCTTAACATTTTTGAAATTTGAATGTGTTTTATGAAACATTATAAATGTAATATTATTGTCCCTTGGAAAATTGCAAGGGATAATAAAATTGCAAGGAACAATTGCAAAGTGCTTGTCTTCCAAACACTTGTCATAAAATCAAAGAAACATAGGTTGTATGCGTGTGTTTGTATTAAAAAAAGAAATTGGGAAATTAAATAGTTTTAAGTGTCTTTTCCACTTGTGAAATTTTCCCATTCATCAACTATACTTTGAAAAATGTTTAACAGCTGTGTAATATTCTATCCTAAAGCTCTAATAGTTTCACTACTCTGAGGAATAATTCTGTAGAGGCAGGAATGAAATGATGGAATCTCTTGAAACCTCCCTCCTCCTGTGTAGGGGTCAGGGGAGGACAGATGAACAGCTTAGCAGGTGCAGATAGGGTCTCCAGCCACCTATTGATAGTGGAACTGGCCAGCCTTTAAAGCTTCTACCAAGCAGTCTATAGTTTTGGTGTCTGTAGTCATTTTCCTTTAGTTGAAAATACAGATTAAACAAAAGTTAAATCAGAATTGGTATTGCCTTAGTGTTGCTATTTTGAGAAGAGGCAGTATCGGTGTTAGACTTGTAAATATCATTCTTATCACCTGACTCAAATTACCAGAAGTATCTCATTGATGCCAAAACATAAACACGAATTATGTTCCACAATTGAAAAAACTACTCATGGAAACATTAATGTGAGATAATTTGCTTATAATGAATTAATACCTTTTTTTTTTTTGAGATGTAGTCTTGCACTGTCCAGGCTGGAGTACCGTGGCGTGATCTCAGCTCGCTGCAACCTCCGCCTCCCAGGTTCAAGGGATTCTCCTGCCTCAGCTGGGATTATAGGCGTGCGCCACCACGCCCAGCTAATTTTTGTATTTTTAGTAGAGATGGGGTTTCACCATGTTGGCCAGGGTCTTGAAGGCCTGACCTCAAACCCGGCTGAGGCTCCCAAAGTGCTGGGATTTCAGGCGTGACCCACTGTGCTTGGTGAATTAATACTTTTCTTTGTTCTAAACCTGGCCTTATTAGAGGAAAGAACAGGTCCTAACTCTACTTTTTTCATTTAGATTAACAATAATGAAGATGTAAAAGTGGCTAGTTACAAAGAGAAAAGTGTATCTGTAAATACTGACCTGCAAGGATATTCGACTTTGATTGAGTAAAGGAAGCAAATTGGCTGGGCACAGTGGCTCATGCCTGTAATCTCAGCATTTCAGGAGGCTGAGGTGGGCAGGTCACTTGAGGCCAGGAGTT